GGGGCTCGATCCCAGGACCCTGGGATCATGACCTGAGCCAAAGGCAGACGCTTAACGACTGAGCCACCCAGGTGCCCTTCATTTGGCTTTTTACAAAAACTTTTTAACAGAGGGCAGTGCCTGGCTGGCTCAGTCAGATGAAGATGACGCTTCATCTCGGGGTTGTGAGTTCAAGCCCCACATCAGGTGTAGAGATGATAAATAAATAAATAAATCTTATTAACATAAACAAATTAACCAACAGTAAGATTTTTAAAAAGTAATCCTAAATTTCACATTGTAAATGCATCCGGTGCTACTGAACTGTTTGCCTGCAGTTGTCTACACTGTGAAGTCACAGTATTTTTCATTACAAAAAATCCCTCTCTCTCCTGCAACGTCAAGAACTGTTTTCAGGCACCTTTCCAATGGCACGGATGGGCACTGGGGAGAGACGAGTACACAAAGAAAGCTATAAAAGTCCATGCCGACTTCCACGCAACTCGTTTTAAAGTGAAGCTGGATAGCTGAGGAGGCAGGGACAGGGCAGGGAGACGAGGTGGGCTGAATTCTGTCATTACTGGGCCATGGAGTCAGACGTGCCGAGGGCCAAAACCATAACCCTGGAATGGAACTCCTTTCTGCAGAAAATCCCACTCAGGTGCATCGGGCTGTGACCACATTAGGCTTGTGCGTTGGTCCCATTTTACAGAAAGACAAAACCACTATGTCACCAAAAGCCTTGGGAGCCAGTGCAGGGATGGGGATGCAGGGATGGGGAGTTCACGGGTGCAAGACCAAGGAGAAACTAAAGCTTCTGGTGGGGAGGAGCGAGCCAGGCCCCCTGAGTACCGTTCCTACAGACGACAACGTCTTTGCCACTTTGAAGGAGAAATCTTTCCAGCTGAGACTAGAACTGTGTTACCTACATGCCAGTCAGGCTGAAATGAATCCTCAGTTCAAGTCACACTATCAAGTCTTGAAACCCTGTGACAGATTCCTTTCCGGATGGGTTCACAAAATACAGTGAGACTTCGGATCTGTCCACCTTTGTCAAATGCTTTCCATGCCTAAGGTTTCACACATAACAAAATTACTCACGTCTGCCATATTCCCAGTGTGACAGAAGCCAACCACAATAGTCCAACAATGAAGAATTTAGGCAAATAGAAAGTCAAACACTTCCTTTCTCCCTAAAAATCAAAGAAAAAGTAAGAAATAAGTTAGTAATTCTAGCAAACCATTAACCCCTAGTAGACCACACTAGATCACAGACACTCCGATCATTTCTACATAGCATGCACTCTTCTGCTGACGGAGGCTGAAGACAGATTCTCAAGGAGACGTTGATCGTAAGGACTGTCACCAGAGTGTGGGCCAGAAGGACGGGGTCTCGGACCCCCTCTGGCAGGGCTGGGTGGATGCTCACCTGGACGCGTACCCCGTGATACACACAGAGCCAGAAGAGCAGCAAGGCACATAGGAACACGGACTGAAAGAGATCGTCCAGCATGCCCGGAACCCAGCTGTTCACCAGAAAGGAGAGCGGGAAGAACGGATCTGGAAGGCAACAGACAGAAGGGCCTGATGGACGCAGGCTCTCCCCACCCAGCACAGGGCATCCGTCCTCTCGTCCTCTCGGTGAGGGCAGGACTCACCATCACCTTCTCCTCAGTCAGAGCCAAAGGGAGGTAGTCAACTAAAGGCTGTTTTGTCTTTCAAAACACTGAAAAGCCAGTGAACAGATCGCTGCAGTGATCACTACAGAGCTCCGTCTGCTCGCACCACCCGCGGCTCCCGCAGGCCTGCGAGTCCCGCGGCGGCTCTGCAAGCAAACGCCTTCTGAAGCAGGGGAAGAGAACAGACGGCCGTGTCTGCGGCCCTTCCCGGTTCTAACTACCCGAGCAGTCACTTGTCTGTGAGAGCTGCCAGGCATCTGCCCGGCCTGGTGCAGCACGTTTCCCGTGCTCTGGGGCGGCCACCTGTTCCTCCAGCGCCCGGGCTCTTCTGGAGACTCTGCAGCTTTATGCTTTAAAGGGGGAAAGCTCCAAAACAAAAATGGGCACCTACCATTGTAAAGCAGCAGCAGAGGCAAAAGAATGGACATCCACTTCTGCTCCATCCCCCAGTCTCGCATGGAAAACTTCCGGAGGGAATGTGCAAACAGGCACTGCAAACCGAATCAGCAACGCAAGTTACTGTGTTTGCTTCCGCCTTGCTCAGCAGCACGTTGTTAAGTCTTCCCAGACTGATGGTCAGTCTTCCCAGACTGATGGTCAGCCAAATCTGAGTTAACCCCTTGCTGCCCTGAGATAAGAAGTGAATCACCGGCAAGGAGCTGCGGGTAAGAGGTTCACAAGCTGTTCTCCCAGGGGCAGGAGGGGGCAGGGAATACACCGGCCATAACCCCCTGCCCCCACCCCTCCCAGCTCCCCCGGGACAGGCTACTTCTATCAGGTCGGCCCCACACACCCACACAGAGGACCTCCCTGGGGATAGGCCACACGCTCCCAGCCAGGCGACATCTGCAGATGGCACCAGCTTGTAAGGAGGGCACCAGGGCTCCCTGAACAAAAGGAAATGAGGCCGGTAACCATGGTCAGAGGACGTGTTTATTTTCAAACACCTCCCTGAAGAAGCTGTGTTGAGCCATGGGAGTTTCTTTAAAGTACTTTAAAACATTACACAATTTGTATAAAAAGACCTGGAGTTTTTTGTTTTGTTTTTTTTTTTTCTGTAATCTAACATAAGCCAGTGATTTCCAAGGGAATTTGGACTTCCTGGGCGGATGGGCCATTTCTCCCAGCCTGTGAGGCTCAGGCTCATTTCTCTTGTTTAAGAACATCATGCCATGGGTGCCCGCCCTTTGGGCCCCAGAGTGTGGCAGCAGACCCTCAGATAACAGAGACGCTTCAAGAGACAGCAAGGGTTTCTGCTGACCAAACACCAACTGCCGCTCTCCACTCAGCTTTAGTAGGTTCGTTAGGGGAAGCCCTGGGCATGGCTGGGACCGCAATCCCCAGCTCTCTGCAGGTTCCACCGTCCACCAGCGGCTGTGTCCTCTCCCCCCATACACACTCAGGTCCCATGTCACCACCAACTGGCACCTTCCTCACACGTCTGTCCCCACAAGCCTATGTCCTTCTGTGTACAGTTGGACTGTGAAGTGATCCTTGCTTGGGTGGCAATTCCCCCACTGCAAAGAGGGGATAATCTCCTGAATGGCACACCCTCCGTGTCAGCAAGGGGCAAGCAGCTGAGGGGTGGGCCATCACCCTTCAGATGGCACGGAGTACCAACACACGCCCTCTCTTCCTCCAGTATGTATGTGCGTATGGATTGATGTCCTTCCTCCAGTTTTAAATTCCCATCTTCACCGACTGGGCCTCTGTGGGGATCGCGTGTGCTTCAAGGGTAAGTATTTGCCCCAAAGCCACAGGGTGCTTGCAGACACTGAACTCAGAGCCCAAAGGAGCCAAAAGCTTGTACTGCCAAACCCACTCATCTGCGGCCTTCCTCCTGAAAAAGCCCAGAGACCAAAAGGTCTGGTACAATTTTCCAAACGTAGAAACCCAGGCATGTGCCGTTATCTGCCTGCGTAAAAAGAAGGTCGTTCAAACACGGCGGGTGAAATGGCACTGTCACTGCACCCTGATGAGCATTTACTTGAAAGGGTCTGTCACCACTGTGACACCACACAGAGGTCCTTACAAACTGATGCCAAGCTCTCTTTTTGCACGGTAGCACCTAGCTGACATTTGGAGTATTTGGTAATATCAGGTCGGCCCGTTGGATGGAGCATCTGAGTTCAGATAAATCTCCTGCGTGGTTCACATTTTTTTTTTAATTTAAACTCAGGCTAGTTAACATATAGTGTAATATTGGTTTCGAGAGTAGAAGTTAGTGATTTGTCCCTTACATACAACACCCAGTGCTCATCCCAGTACATGCCCTCCTTAATCCCCATCCCCCATTCAGCCATCCGCCCTCCCGCCTTCCCTCCAGTAACCCTGTTTGTTCTCTATAGTTAAGAGGCTCTTACGGTTCGCCTCCACAGTTCACACTGTGATAATCGTAATTCATAAATTAACTCTGCCCTTGTTAGGATTCTGACGTGGTCTGTCAGGCAAATGGGACTTACAGTGACAATGAAGGTAAGCACCACAAAGACGAATCGGAACCAAATTTCCAATTGGGAAAATGCAGGGTCATAAGTCTTCCACTAAAATGTAAAGCAGGAAAATAATTTGAAAAAAAAAATCCATCTAAAAGGAAGTACACCAGATTAGTAATAATAGTTATCTCTAGATACAATACTATAATTTTAAATGTTCTCTCTTCTATGCCTTCTTACATGTTCTAAAAAATTTTAACACTTAGTACATTTTATTTTTATATTAAAGAACACAGACTTTGAAAATCTTAATTATAAGAGTTGGAAATTGTTTTAAATGGTCATATTAATGATAAATCTGACAAATTATTCTGTAATCACAAGAAGAGCATTTGGCTTATAAATTCCATATCAAAAAATCAATGCTGTCGGGGTGTCTGAGTGGCCCAGTCAGTTAAGTATCTGACTGTTGGTTTTGGCTCAGGTCATGATCTCAGGGTTGCGAGATCGAGCCCCGCATCGGGCTCTGCGCTGACTGTGGAGCCTGCTTAAGATTCCCTCTCTCCCTCTCCCTCTGCCCGCCCCTACCCTCACACGCACTCTCTATCTCTAAAAAAGAAAAATCAATACTGTCAATCCCTTTATTAGAAAAAGCCATGTTTTCCATTAAAAGAAAGAGATTTTTAAAAGATGCAAAAATGTGAGTAGGTAGGATATTCTAAAAAAAGATTAAGTGAAACACATAAATATGAATCTGACACCAAAAAGTACAATGGAATGACAGGTGTCAGCTCTCATGCTGAGTAGATTCACTCCTATCAAGTATACACCTAACGGAGTGGAGGATGCATGCACCACATACCGATGGCAGGCAGAACGCAGCCCTTCCAATCTCGGTCACAAGCCAGATTTCTCACCAGACCCCAGAACACTGCACTGCACTGGGCCAGTGAGCCCCACTGTTTTAATGCATTTAAAATCATTTGAGCAGTTTTGAAAAATCTACTTCAGAATAGAGTTATAGACATGAGATTTACCTAACTTACCTGAAACATTTAAAATACCCACACCCACCCACACACACAGGTACACACACACATACACACACGACACATACACACAGTTTAAGACACTGCACAGGAGGCAATGAAGGACAGTCATCTCTGGCTGGTAAGAGAGAGGTGCACCCTCTAGCTGCCCCGAGCCATGGTGGGGAGGGAGCCCAAGCAGGGAATCATGGACATACTCCTGGAAGTCCAGGGAGACAATCCACTGGCTGTGATTCAAAGTACAGAGTACTGAGAGGAGAGCTGGAAGACAGAGCTCTGGACACCTGCCAAAGGTGGTCCCCCTCACGTCTCCACCTGAACACTGATCAGGGCATGATGCACAAAGGGTCACTGGGTGGCATACCCCAGTGGTGAGAAGGAAGTAGCTTTAGACTTCATGCTGGTTTGGTCCCACCTAGAGAAGTTTAAAAGCAAGGCCTAAAAAAGTCAAGCCATTTCCAAGTAACTTCACAACATCCCAGAACAAAGCTCAAAGACATCTATAAGAATACAAAATCTAACATCAATAATGCCTGGCATTAAATAAAAAATACCGGACATGTAATGCTGTGTGTGTCAACTATACTCAAAAAAGAAAGAAAGATAGGAAAAAAAGAAAGAAAAAAGAAAAATACCTAACGAAAAAAACAAGAAAATCTGAACTGTAACGAGGAAAAAAAAAAAAGAATCAATCAAAACTGCTCCAGGGGGCGCCTGGGTGGCTCAGTTGGTTAAGCGACTGCCTTCGGCTCAGGTCATGGTCCTGGAGTCCCAGGATCGAGTCCCACATCGGGCTCTCTGCTCAGCAGGGAGTCTGCGTCTCCCTCTGACCCTCCTCCCTCTCCTGCTCTCTGTCTCTCATTCTCTCTCTCTCAAATAAATAAATAAATAAATAAATAAAAAACTGCTCCAGGAATCCCAGATGACACGGAATTAGCAGATATGGGCAGCAAGAAGCTAGAGGAAAGTCTGAACACGTGAGGTCAGAATCTGGAGGAGCAACAACAGTGGAAGAGATGTGACAGAGATGAGAGAACATGGAGACGTGCCAACAGACATGATTTTAAATGAACCAGCACAAAACTGAACAGAGCGTAAGCTGAGACAACTTCAAGTGGCCTAAGAGATGTGTAGGGGC